GTATGTATTTATAGGTTGGAACCATATTTTTTAGTAAATTAAAAAAAAAATTCATCTTTTTTTTCAGGCGTTCAAAAACGCCATACACGTACTCCGGTTGGTGCTGTAGCAATAATGCCTGGTGTAGCACAGCCACCCCTGAAACGTGAACCATCACCCGCCGAGCAACATTTATCACCTCAAACAGAAATTGCTGCTGCTGAGCCGGAAGAACCAAAACCACAACCTGTAAAACTGCCAGTTTTCAATCCTGCCGCTGTGCCTGTGATGCGCCCAATATCTGGTATTACCGTTATTTTTTCACATTTTTGTTTTGAATGATTTTTTTTTTTGATGATGTAGCCTATGTTTTCTACACGTAATCCGTGTTTCCCATATGTTTCGCGCGCTGTTTTGGCGTCCTACTCGTACGTAGAGTTGTAAAATTAGAAAATATGAGCAGAAACTGTGCGAGTGAAAGAGCTGAATCTCTCAAAAATGGTGCTTCGAGTAGAATTGTTGAATTTTTCAAAAAAAACGGGGGATGAAAAGGCAAAAAAAATGGTACTTCGATTCTTCTGTATTTTTATACCCCTTGTTTTTCTTACATCGTACAGGTACCACTCAATCATTGTTGTGTGTTTTACATCACAGAGCCAATTAAAATTCGAAATAATTGGGTGGTTTTCAGGCGCACCACAGGTGAAATCGCCCATCGTTCCCGCTTCGACAACCAACAGAATGTTCGAGGGGATAAAAAGACGTATTGTGGATAGCGATGAAGAAAACGATGGCGATCACGACTGGGATGATGAACCACCGATGAGTGGTGGTGTTGCCCCACGGCCACAGGTTGTATAAGTTTATTTTTTTTTTTTTTTTAGGTACTTTTTGGGTAACAGCCGTAATATGCATGTGGTGGTCATAGTTTATGAATGAGGATAAAGTGGTAGAGTTGCCCTCAGTGCTTGTCTGTTTTGGGTAATATTAATTTGTTTTATACTAACGAAAAGGGTTTTACTGTTAAATTAGGAGAATATCAGGACCGTTTGGGCAATCAGGGATAGTTGTTATCCCATGTTATTGATCTTGCCTTCCCTCCTACACTATTCTTACTTTCTGAATTCCATCACACCTTCGCCATCTGCGCTTCCAAGGTCAACGTGGATGCTGCAATCTGCTTACTGTTATGTTTCCATGCGAGAAGCGTAACTATCCTCGATTCTAGAGATAAAACAGGGGGGTTTTTTTGCAGCTGAATTCTGTTGGTCATCCAAAGAAAAAAAAAGCTTTGTATTTATTGAACCGAACTTGCGCAGGGATGAAACACAGACAGATTTTGCTCATAAAAATTCCTTCTTTTTTGGTGAAATTTTTTTTTCTGACCATTGTGAGGGCAGCTGAATCTCCGGGTATTTAGTTCCCGGACGTTCTACTG